CTGCAAGTTCTTCCTCTCGGATACCGGCTGCCAACGGGCAGCTTGTCGATTTCTTCATGACTGGCAAGGAGTACCAAGAGAGGATCGCTCGGACAAGTGCAAGAACTGTGGGGCCAAGGGACATATGAAGAAGTTTTGTCCGTTGAAGGGTTCTGAGGGGAATCGTCGGACAGAGGAGGCAAGACCTTCCGGACCTCCCAGGATAAAGAACGTCAGCCAGGAAAAGCGCGAAGATGGAACCATACCCACTGGAGAGGCTCCTGCAACCTCAAGTGGCTCGGCAGCGGCATCCTCAAGCCCTACGACTCCTCCTACAACAATGACTATCCCGAGTTCTACTTCGCCTACGACAATGCCTAGCAATGAGGAGTTCTTACGCAATGCCACTCAGATCCTTAAGATGATGGCCGAACAAAGTTCGATGTCCACGACAATGCCATCTACGAAGATGCTTCAAAAGGCAGTGACAGAGATGGAAGCAAAAATGGCACTGGTGGATTCGGGAGCAACACATCCTCTACGACAAGTTACGGTTCCGGAGTGGGATACTTCCAATGAAGTGGACGTGCTGATAGCGGGGGACGGCGTGGCACGGATGAGACAGAATGACACCGGAACTGTGCTCACGGCACCGACAGCACCAAGGACGCAAACAATATTGCCGGTTGGAGGACTGGTGTCGATACTGGGCTACGAGCTTGTCTGGACAAAGAAGAAATGTGCACTGAGATCTCCAGAGGGCCGAGAGATTCCGCTAAGAGTTACAAGCGGATGTCCGGAAATCAATGAGGCTACAGCTTTGGAGTTGATCGGGAAGATCGAGGAGGAGAAGTTGCAACAGCTTGAAGGCCAAGGCGACGAGAATGGCGATGTTGAGAGCTCAACAAGTTGAAGGCTGGGAACAATGGGAATCCAGTTTGCGGGAGTTCGTGGACAAGGGGAAGTTTGAGGATGGGTTTCGGGCATTGGTGTCTATGCCATGGTTGAAGAATGTTCCGCGAGAAGACCTGGTCAAGGTGGTTATGGACATGCCAAGAAGCGACGAGGAGGCGTGGGGCCTGATGAAGCAATGGGGATGTAATCGTCGTTTCCGAAAGCTGTTGGTCCACAAGGACTGGGTGGTCAAGTTGTATAGCGGGCCCAAGGGACAGATCGACAAGATCTTTAGGTCGATGGACTCCAACAACACCGTGGTGGTGGATGTGGATCTCGCAAGAGGACTTCAGATGGACATGTTGAAATATGAGGACGGCATCTTCAGGCTACTATTGTGGGGTGCTACAACCGGAAGGGTGGCTGCAACAATGGCGGGGCTGCCCAACCAACACTCGGATTTACATCTTCTCAAGTTGATGACCCTTACAGAAACCGCTCGAGAAGGGCGACGGCG